CAGATCACCAGAGAAATGCAAATTAAAACCACAATGAGATAAAACTGAACACCTACTAGAATGGCCAAAATCCAGAACACTGACAACACCAAATGCTGTTGAGGATGTGGAGCAACAGGAACCCTCATATATTGTTGGTGGGAATGCAAAATGGTACAGACCCTTTGGAAGTCAGTTTTGTGGCTTCTTACAAAACAAAACATATTCTTACCATATGACTCAGCAATTATGCTGAGTCAGCAATTATGCTTGATACTCACCTAAAGAAGCTAAAATTTCATGTCCTCACAAAAACCTACACAAAAGAGTTTAGAGCACCCTTTTCCATAATTGTCAACATTTGGAAGCAACCAAGGTATTTTTCAGTAGGGGAATGGATAAGTAAACTATGGTACATCCAGACAATGGAATATTATTCAGTGTTGGAAAGGTATGAACTATCAAGACATGAAAAGACATGAAGGCATCTTATTTGTGTATTAACAAGTTAAAGAAGCCAAGCCTGAAAAGGCTATGTACATATAGTATGATGCCAGATAGAAGACATTCTAGAAAAGGCAAAAACATGGAAACAAGAAGATCAACGATTGGAGCAAGGGATGAATAGGCAAATAACAGGATTTTTAGATCAGTTAAAATACTCTGTATGGTCTTATAATGATAGATATATGTCACTATACATCTGTCCCAACATATAGAATGTACAACATCAAGAGTGAGCCATAGGACTCACTCACATGGACTTTGGGTGGTTATAGTGTATTGATATATTCATCTTTCGTTAAAAAAAATGTATTGTTCTGGTGAGTGATGTTGATAACGGGCAACGCCATGCATGTCCAGGTTCAGGGGTTAAATGGGAAGTCTCTGTACCACCCTTTAGTTTTGTTGTAAACCTAAAACTTCTCTACAACAGTCCTTTTAAGAAAACATTCCTAGACATGATACCAAAAGCATAGTCTATTTTAAAAATTGGTAAACTGGGGCGTCTGAGTGGCTCAGTGGGTTAAAGCCTCTGCCTTCGGCTCGGGTCATGATCCCGGGGTCCTGGGATTGAGCCCCGCATCGGGGGGTCTCTGCTCAGCAGGAGGCCTGCTTCCTCCTCTCTCTCTCTCTCTCTCTCTGTGCCTACCGGTAATCCCTGTCAAATAAATAAATTAATTTAAAAAAAAGAAAAGAAAATGGACAAAAGACATGAGGAGGAGACATTTCATCAAAGGCGATATGCGGATGCCAAAAAAGCATGAGAAGGTGCTGAGTGTGATTAGCCATTAGCAAAATGCAAATTAAGTGCGGGCAAGGGATAATATGTCTGACTACGGATGAGAAAAATGCAAATTGAGACCACAATGAGATATCATTATATGTGCGTCATAACAGCTAGAATAAAAAACAGTGGTAAAAGCAAATGGTGGTTAAGATGCAGCGAAACTATCATTGACACATTATTGGTGGGAATGTAAAATAGTACAGACACTTTGGGAAACAAGTTAGCATTTTCTTAAAAACTGAACATGAAACAACCACATGACCTACCAATTATACTCCTTTCCTGGGCATTTATTCCAGAAAAATGAAAATTCATGTTCAACCAAAACCTCATACAATTGCTCCTGGAAGCATTATTTGTAATAGACAAAAACTGGAAACAACCGAATGTTCCCATTCAACAGCAACGGCCCACTCCCCCAGCTCCTAGCCACCAACATTCTACTTTCTATTTCTGAATTTAACCACTCTAAATAGTAGTTAAATACAATGTCCTCAAAGTTCATCTACGTTGCAGCATGTGTCAGAATGTCCTTCCTTTTTTTTTTTTTTTTTAAAGTCGGCTCCGTGCCCAGCATGAAGCCCAACACAGGGCTTAAACTCATCACCCTGAGATGGAGACCTGAGCTGCGATCAAGAGCCAGCCACTTAACTGACTGAGCCACCCATGTGCCCCAGAACATCCTTCCTTTTTAAGGCTGAATAATATTCCCGCATATATATAAACCACCTTTTATTTGTCCATTTGTCCATCGATGACCACGTGTTCCTTCCACCTTGTGGCTATTCTGACTATGGACATGAGTGTGTCATCTGGAATTTTTGAGGGTGTGCCCCAGAACTCTTTGTTTGATAAACTCCCCTGGGGATTCTAATATACATTCGAGGTTTGTGAACCACAACTTGAATTCAGGATTTCCCCAAGGATAGATGAAGAAGGATTTCGGGTAGCTCTCAGACACACTATTATAGAGAGCTGACTCACATATGAGAAAGTCCGTCTTTTTCACATTTTATGAAACTTTCTGGTAAGGTCAAGAGAAAAATCTTGGTTTGATGTTATTTATCTTGAACACTGGATTCTAATTTCTCCTTTTAATAACGTGAGAGCAGCCCTCAGATTTGGAGCTCCAGATCCTTCAGCAGATAATCGTTAACAGGTGAACTTAATAACATCATTTTTTCATCGTATTAATGACTCTACAGCACCACGACTATAAGTTCTATATGATAGTGTTTTTTAATAGATCTACTTAATATTTTTGTTTAAATTGAGTGATATTTTTTAACAAAAGAATATGGCCAGAGGTATGTGAATATGGCAAAACCCTGAAGAGTGATGTGCCAGAAAGTGAAGTCCAGGAGATACTGCTTTTGGGAACATCAGCATTTGGATTTTGCTCTCAACTTCCTGCACATAGAATGAGAGAGGCAGACACACAGAGAAGCACATGTCTAAGGCATCCAATAGAGGTCTCCTCTGTGGCAGAAATGGGATGGCACCTGCCAGAGGGGGAAAGGCAGAGAACATTCAGGAAGCATCCCCAGCAATCTCTCAAGCCAGAAAATCGGGGACCTAAGCCTTAGAAGAGTGAGACAGTGATGCTCTTTGAATTTGCTGGAATGATTTTCTTTTTCTTTTGCCTTAATGTTGAGTAAAATTTTCTAAAAACTGCAGCCTGTCTAGACTGTGATACGGGGTCACCAACGAAGAGAAGTAAACACATTGGGCAATCAGCTCAGAGACATGGAGGGCCTGACTCAAGTCACACAGCTCAAACTCAGGCCTGGTGGGCTTCCAAGATCGGCTTCACCGCACTCATTATGTCATCCAAGTTCTTTGTGACCTTGGCTTCAAATTCAACTGGAGGTTTCTTTCCCTCGTGGTTTCCAAGGCAGAGAGGCAGAGGAGCAATTTCCAAGCATCAGCTCCTCTAAGATGCGGCGAGTCTGGAACTCTGCAGTGGTCTATGAACATCTGGGGGACTTTATTCGGATTTCTGCTTGTTTGAATTTTAATGTTCTCAAAATACGGTTTCTAGTTACCACTAGAGCTGGCAACACAATAGAAAAATGGAAAGGGAATTTCATTTCCCAAATTTGTGAGGGTAGGCTCTCCAGGCCATGGGCCTCATTAAGAAGAGATGGGTTAGCAAATGATTTACTGACTCAACAGCAGAAAATACTGTCCCATGTGAGGGCAGTGTCCTTTTTTTTCCCCTCTGAAAAATCTTGCACTCTGAACCACCCGCACAGTAATTACAAAGGTTTCCTGTGCCCTTAAATCCGGTAACACAACATCCTAATGAGAAAATTTCCAAAACTATTTTTCAAGCCTTGATGCATGTTCAAAAGAAAAAAAAGCATACAGTCCTTAAAAACAAAAGTTACAGATTACACACCCAGCTGAGGGAGCTTATTAAACCTACTTCAAAGCCTTGACATTTTCGAAAATAATGCAGGAGATGATTTAGGGGGTAACTGAGTAGGTTCCTTTCCCTCCGAGAACATCTGAGAACATTTTCTCTAATAATAAAAAGGCAAAGTACATGCACTTGTGTAAACCGTAAATGGTCCACCAGTGCGTGAGCGAAGAAGAGCGCCAGTGTGAAGAAAGACCTTTCCAGTATCTTCCACACACACATGGTTTCCCCCGCACCCACCTGGGGTCAGTAACGCGGTCGCAGGGCGTGGAAAGAGGCAGTTCTTGAGATGGAATCGTTCCGTGTGGAAAGCATTATCCCAGATGAATGTAAAGAGAACACATGCATGCTACGTGAGCTTGCAAACTCGGAGAGGTCTCTTGTCTCCGCTGCTATTATTACTATTACTACCATTACTACTGTTACTCCTACTCCTACTGCTATTATTTTCTTCTTCCCGGGGAAGGAATCCCGAAAGCGCCAGCTTCCCCATCCTCCGCAGAGATGTTCAGAAAGCTTGGCAGAGGTGGGGGAAGCTGCGGCACACGCACAAAACAAGACTCGCTCCCCAGGCAGAGGATGGGAAGGGATGAATTCAAGGGGACTCTTAAGTTTTGGAGAATCTCACAAAAAGGGGGGGGGGGTGAGAATAGCACCTACGGGAGGGTATTTGTTGCAAGAGCAGCAGCTCCAGAGCGCGCGGAAGAAAAAGCAGACAGCTGAGCCCGGAGGCCCGCTCAGGAAGGGAACCTCGGGGCGCGAGGGCGCGACAGCCCCAAGCTTCTCCAAGATTAATGCCCAGACACCACCCGGCGATCTGCTTAAAACACAGATTCCGATCCTTTGGTCGAGGGTGGGGAATTTGCAGTCTCGAACAAGCTCCCAGATTGACAGCTCCTGCCGATCCACGGACCAAACTTTGAGGAGCAAGGGATTTGCTCACGGCAGCGAAGCCATCCTGGGTTAAAGCAAAGGTGGGGGGCGGGGGGCTTGCTGAAGCCGACAGTAAACGTCTCGGGGGAGCAGCGACCTTAGAAGGGCAACGACAGAAACGAAATGGATGCTGGATGGGCCGGGGATGGTGCTTCGAATGAGCCGGAGGAAGGACCGCGGTCTGGTAACCGCCGTTACAAGCAGGATTTCTGAAGGGAAGGGGAGCAAGGAGGGCTCTACAAGAAAGCAGCGCGAGCGATGGGGGTTTGGGGGGAGGGGCAGGAGACGCGCACCTGGACGCAGGCAGGCGGCTGGACTCTGGGCCGGAGCCGGGGGACGCGGGAGCGGAGGGGACGCGGGCCGGCCTGCGCTTACCTGCGCTCCCCCTGGTCTGTGTAGACGCTGAAGAAGAGCCCCTCCCTGAGGTCCTGGTACACCAGGCCGGAGAAGCTGAGCTGCAGCTCATACCGCCCCCCGGGCTGCAGCGGGCCGCCCAGCTCCAGCACCATATACTGCATGTCAAACGCGAACCACACGTCGTCCACCGGCACTCGGCCCACCGTGCCGTCTCCGGCGTCGGAGGCGAGAGGACCCCGCACCTCGGCGCTCTCGCAGTCCAGAAAGAGGCTGTGCAGCAGCAGCCGCCTGGTGGCCGCGGTGCAGCGCACCGTGATGTTCACGCGGCCCGTGAAGGTCAATGTCGGAGCCCAGGACTCGTGGGGCCGCAGCCGGGGCCACAGCTCCAGCTCGTAGTGCAGGGGCACGAGCCAGGGCGGCAGGCGCAGCTGGTCCCAGGGCCCTGGGGGGCGCCCGTGGCCCGTGGTGGCGGTCACCGCCGGCTCCCGAGTGGGGCGGGTGCGCCCGGGGGGCAGCGGCTCTCCCGGCGTGGCGGGCGGGGAAGGCGCGGCGTCCAGGCCCGCGCGGTGGGGAAGCTCCGACGGCGGCACGCGCGCGCAGCGGCCGTACAGGGCGGCGAGCGCGGCCAGCGCCAGCAGGAGCGCGGCCGCCAGCCCGGCCAGCAGCAGGGCTACCGCGCGGCTCACGTAGAAGCCGGAGCTGGAAGGGGGCCCCATGCTTGGACCCGGGGCGAGGGCGAGGCGAGAGCCGGAAGACGGCGGCGGCACCAACCTTGCTCCGAGTGCTCAGTGATGGGACCCCTGCTCTTCCTCTCTGTAACTTCCCTCCTCCACCTCGTCCTCCTCCTCCCCGAGAAGCTTGGGAGACGCGAGCGAGCGGTTGGGACCAGGGCTTCCCCCTCCCAGCTAATCAGATCCAGGCCCCTGCCTACCCACCCCCGCCCCGCCAGAGCCTGGGGAAAGAGGCGGATCCCTCGCACCGCCGCGCGCGCCCCTTTGGGTCCGAAGGGAAAGCCCAAGTGGCTGAGGCTTCCAGAGTCGACGCGGGAAGGGGACGGTCGGGGCAAACTCGAATTTGGGACGAGGATGTTTGAATTCGTGAGATTTGCTGGATGCGCCCCGCGGTGCAGTTTCAAGGGTTGTCGGAAAAGACAGGAGCGCATAGCACACCCCGCTTCTTGACTGCAGGGATGGTCTGCGAATAGCACACCAGTTGGCCGCTACCCGGGATGCGAGTGCTAGCGGGTGCGGTGCGGGGCTTAAGGATCTGGACTTTTGGAGACGCACTCTGAAATGACCCTGGGTGGGTGGGGGGCATCCTCGCTATCAGAACTCCCCAAGCCAGATCGTGGGACCCTAAATTCGCCACCTAAATAAGCTCGGGAATCACGCAACCCAGGCAGCGAGTGCAACGATGGAAACCAGGTCAGGAGTCCCGCCGCATTCCCGAGCTTGGGACATGGGGCTGCGGGAGTGGTCGACAGAAAGGCAGGGAGAGTTCCTCTGCAGCTCTGGGGTGGAGAGGGGACGTCTCCGGGAAAGGGATAGGACGGCTCTGCTTTCAAAAGCGGCTCGTTTCATGCAGCAGTCGTGCGGCCAGCCTTTCTTCCGCCCAGAAACTGCTGGGCCGGGAGTCCCAGGCGATGCCCTAGTCGGTGAGATCTTTGGCATGCCGGGCATGTGTTTGCTATTTAGTGGGTGCTTCCGGGGTAGTTCTCCGGCCTCTGCGCCCAACCTCGAGTTTGCACGCACGCACTCGCCTGCATTGGGAATGGGGTTGCAAATATTCAGCGGGCGCTGGGGAAGAGGAGTGAGCGGTTAAATATTCACCTGCCGGCTGAAGACTTCCTTGAGCGCGTATCCCGTCTTCCAGAACGAAGATAATTTTTCCATCTCGGCCAGGAAATGGTCTTGGCTTTCCTGCTTTGAACTGTAGGTCCCATCCAATAAGAAAATCCTTCCACCTGAGTCCAGAGACGGGTAAACCAAGGTGATTCTCCCGGGAAATGTGATCCGCCCTGCTCCTCCAGCTGAAATTAGTCACATTAAAAACAAACCTCCAGCCAAGCTCACGCACTCACTGTGCTGTAACTGGCGGGCCAGTGTCCTGATTACAGGTTTGATTGGCTTTCTTCAGAAAAGGAACGATCGTGTTTAAAAATAATTATGGCCACCTGCATCCCTCCCAGAAGATCCTGGGTAGAGCTGAGGGAGAAAAAGCTCCTTCTGTTTCTCCTTCTGCAAGTCAGGCTGCCACAACTATGAGCTACTGAGCTATATAGCAGGGGCCTCTGAGTGTAGGTTATTGTGAGATGGGGATTGCCACAGAGGCAGAGCTAATGAATTATCGTCCTTGCCGCCCAGTGGTCCATTTCTGGAAGGATTCCAGACTCCCAAGGAAAGGTTAAAGAAAGAAAAGGAGTCCCTAACAGAGTGACTTGAAGTTCATATTAGAGGGGCCCCTCCCCTCGATTTTGCCTAAGAAACTCTACAGAGGTGTATAAACAGACAGAGGTGTTTAATTCCATTTGCCTAATATCATTAGACAAGTAGAAATTGACTACTGCACAAAAAGATGCAAAGTAATAAAATGACATCCAATGACTCTCAATTTAAGTATCTTATTTAAAGGGAAAATATTTGATAAATCGTTGAACCACTCAGAAGTTGCTAAATAATACACTCACTGAATCATGCTTATGTTAATAATTTTTAAAAAGAACTGGAAAATACTATCATATGAAATTTTTGACATTTCAGTGAAAGATGAGTTCTGGGAAACATATCAGTTGCCAAGAAAACATTCACTAAAAGTTTTTTTTTTTTAATTTCTTAATGAGATCTCAGAAATTCCCCCTTCCTATTTAGACCAGCTAGAACAGTGATTCTCAGCAGGAGGTGCTTTGGGCTGCTCCCCTCCCCTGGACATTGGCCAATGCATGGAGACTTTTGGTTGGTGGTTCTGTGGCGTGGGGGTGAGGCTTTGCTACTCATATCTAGGGAGTAAAGGCCAGGGATACTGCTAAACCTCCTACAGTGCACAGGACAGCCGCCTGCAACAAAGAAATATCTTGCCCAGAAATGTCATCATTGCTACTGTTCAGAAATCCTAAACTAAAGCAATAACCCAAGGCTTTTTGTGCTACCCCAATGGGACTTGGCCTTTGTATCTTTGTACCTATTTACTTTTGTTGCTTATGCTTATGTTTTGGCAGGTCTATTATCCTTCCATCATTATATCTTAGTACTTACTATGAGCCTCTATAATACTTTATTCTTCCTCTTGGGCCATATAATTTAATTTTTCTTTTCTTTTTTTCTTCATTTACTTTGCAAATTTAATTTTTTTTTGAATGGGTGATATATTCATAAGGCTCAAAAATAAAGAGTGTGGAAATTTATGTTGAGATATCTGGCTTCCACTGCTTTCATCGTTAACAATTTTTGATAGTATTTTTGTGTATGTATCCTGTGTTTCTTTATGCAAATCATGCAAATACAGTTATCTACTCTTGCATTTTTCCTCTTTCTTAAGTAAAAAATAGTGTTCTAAAACATGCTTCTGACCCTTGCATTTTTTTTCATTTAACAATATATTCTGTGTATCTTTCCATATCAGTCCACAGAGATCTTTCACATTCTTTTCTACAGCTGCATTGTATGGATATACCTTGGCAAAGATTTGGTTCTGTGAAAGGATTCACCAGACTCCACAGGGTATCTTCACAAAGGCTTTTATTGAAAGCCAAAGAATATGGTGCAGCAAGAAAAAGAGAATACAGACAAGTATTGGAGGTCAGAGAGACATCCCCTTTGCCCTTATTTGCATAAATACGGATCACACTGTCACCAACTGGAACTGCCAACATCTTTGAGAGGAATCTTGTTTACAGAAAGGAGCTCAAGGAGCTCAAAGGAGAAGCTTTTGGAGAATCTCCTTAAATAATCAAGGCAGATTTGTCAGAAATCCAGTTGCCGACCATCAGTAAAGGAATTAACCTGGGTCTCCAGGGAGAATTTCAGACTTGAGTCAGCACATCATAAACTAATCAAGAGTCAAAAATCAAATATCCAGAAGTAAGACAGAGTAAGGAACACTGAAAATCCTCTCCTCTGTGAAAGCAATGTGAACTCTGAAAAAATGGTCAGAATTAACTATTTCAGAACTCTGGAAAATAACCAAAATCTTGTAGCAATCAGGAAGTGTTTGTTAAGGGGAAAAAAAAAAAAAAAAAAAGCCAAATCTCAGTTAAAAAAAAAATAATAATAACCTGAGCTTTATAACATTTTTAACTTGCTTTATTCTCATTTCCTCCTTCTCAGCTCTGCAGTAGGCTTAAAAAATCAATAGTCCCCATCAAGGTGCGAACCAGTAGCCTGGCAGCCACTGGAAGGAGCATGAAGTCCTTTGAAAGCCTCATTCTCAAGAGAACTGCCATTATTTGAACTACCTGGTGATTCCCTGAAAGACTTCCCTGGAAGGGGTGCCTGGGTGGCTCAGTGGGTTAAAGCCTCTGCCTTTGGCTCGGGTCATGATTCCAGGGTCCTGGGATCGAGCCCCGTGTTGGGCTCTCTGCTCAACAGGGAGCCTGCTTCCCTTCCTCTCTCTCTGCCTGCCTCTTTGCTTACTTGTGATTTCTGTCTGTCAAATAAATAAATAAAATCTTAAAAAAAAAAAAAAAGACTTCCCTGGAAGTCTATCTTTATTGCACTTGATTTCACAGTTCAGCCTGGGGTGAACGGCCTTTCCTCAGGCCCACGGGTTGAAAATAACATTGGCAATTGTTTGATATTGCAACTGCCTGGGGTGGGTGAACATTTGACCCAAACATTAAGCCCATCAGAAGGTTTAAAAGGAGAAGCTCGGGAATTAGGTATCTACAGGGGGCTTTGAAAAGCTGGAGTCCAACATGTTCCTCAAAATCTTAAAGGCCATATGCATTCTATGGGCTATGTACAGGACTAAGGCTGCACTGCATGGAAAAGACCCAAGAAAGCCCTAAGCACCTCTAGCTTACCTTGAGGCATTGCTCAAGCTGGTCTCAAGCCTAAGACAGCACTGTCAACTGCCCGGTTGAGTACTGAAGGGATATCCCAACACCCACACAGACAGACCCACAAAAACTGAGAAATTCAGGTATTCAAGGGAATCTCTGTCTAACCATTAGCTGACCACTAGGCTAACTGAGCAAACCCCTAAGTGGTCACCAAAAAAAAAACAAAAACAAACAAACAAAAAGAAACCACCACCACAACAAAACACACTTTACTGAATTAGTTCAGATCAGAAAAGTCTCTAAGCAAACAAATGATGACAACAACAATGAGCAACAATAAACCCTGAAGGAGCCAGAGATCTTAGACTTGTCACATTATTTAAAATATCATGTTTTCAACAACAAACAACAAAAATTATGAGATGTGCAAAGAAACAAAACACTTTTTTTTTTTTTTTTTGCACATCTTTATAGAAAATGTCCCTGAGGACTTTCAAACACTGGGCTTACTAGATAAAAATTTTAAATCGGCCATTTTAAATATGTTAAATGAACCAAGGAAACCATGTCTAAAGAGTTTAAAGGAAAGTATGGAAATAATATCTCATCAAATACAAAATATGAATAAAAAGGTTAAGTTTTTTAAAAAGAATCAGATAGAAATCCTGGAGCTGAAAGTACATTAACTGAAATTTTAAAATCACTAAAGGGGCTTCACAG